ATAATCAAACACTTCCTTACACTCTTCCTCCTATAATTATGAAAAATGTTCTTTACACTACAAATGTCATTAAAAATCTTTTATTCACTCATCGCTTTACTATTGACAACAATGTTTCCATAGAATTTGACCCGTTTGGTTTTGACGTGAAGTGTAACGTCCCAAAAATTATGAGGTAAAAATTTCAATTTTAATTCAATCAAAACACCAGTTCTCTTTTATTCAAGCATCCAAAGTATCTCATAATAAAACAATCAATAGATTACAAATCCAAAAAATCATCACATTACGGAAATGTGGGTGGATGTTCTACAATCAAGCTGGGCCTTTCCCTTTCGAACCGGAAATACCTGAAACCATGATAAAAAAAAACCGTAAACACGAAACTTAGTGAGTTCCCCAAAATACCACATACCATACATACCAAACATATAGTTGGCCCGCCTATCATTGCGCCCCGCCCGGCATCAAGCCAGCTCAGTATACAATTTTTTTAGTCGTCATACCCCACCTAGAATCAGGCCCCACCCGGTATACATATACACAATTAAACACATAATCATACAATCACATGCAATAATCATAAAGATAATAACATATGGGATAGTCATCAGGCCTACCTGGTAAGATATAAACACATATCACACGCAAGAATCACGCAGATAAGTAGAATACTAAGCATACAAACCATGTGTCGGCATTAGTGTCTTTGACCCTCTAAACACAGTGAGGAAACTCACATCAATCTGCTGATAACCAAACAATTGCTATGGTCGCTGAACTGGATAACCTCGCACCAACTAACAATAAATACAACCGTGCTTAATAATTAACCCAATAACCCAAAATCCAAGGCCCAATCCACAATCGAACTTCCTAAAGGGTAAAAGACTATTTTACCCTTTCCATAATTGGTCCAACCTCAAATGGCCCACCCCCAAAAGGATCAAATGGATTCTTGGGGAATACGCCTTACAAACTCGAAACGTACGCCCCTCATACCAACTATCGAAGCACAAAGTACAAGAATTTGATACGAAAACCATACATTAAGCTGCGTACTCCTATGTATGCCGAGCGTACTCAAAAGAGATTAAAAAATCCCACAAAGTCTCCTAATGGTTAAGATAAGAACTTCTAAACTCAGATATGACCCTAAGGAGATGTATTATGACGTAAAGTTGGAAACTTTACTCCTTTGCATGGCTTAATGGGATTAAATAGTCAATAAATTCCATAATAAACACCCAAACTCATGGGTGTTCCACAATAACTCTTCAATATGACATTTTTATGATCAAGGGACCTCACAAATGCCAAGATCCATTATTCTAAGCTCTTAGGGTAACTATAATCACAAGATCAACACATTGGGACCAAAACACGCAAAAACACCACCCAAATCTAGATCTATACTAAAGAACCATAAAGTTTGAAGATTTATACCTCCAGAAGGTAAATCAAGATGCACAAATCCTGGATCCAGAAGCTTCAAGCAATTCCACACTTCTCCAAGGAGTTTTTTCTTCTTCAATGAGCACCAAAATGCATGAAATACCACCAAAAGCTCAAGAACCACACCAATGGAGGCTAGGGTTTAATAGGATGGAGGTCGAAGGTAAGAGTGTTTGTTGTTGAGTTAAGGAGCTTAAATAGGTTCCAAGAGCCTACATTAGGGTTTGGGTCTGACAGGAGTACACCATGCGTACTTCTAGTACGCCCAACATACTACAAGGAGAACCCATGACTACCCTGGCTAGTACGCCCAATGTACTTACATGTATGCCCTGCATACTAGGTTGAACCCTAAAACCGCCAAACTTCTGAAGGTCATAACTTCTTTCTAATTCCGATTTCGACGATCCTTATATCCTTATATAGGTAACGAGAAGCTCTACACTTATACCAACTCATCCTTGCCTTGAAAATTCCCAAGCTAAAATGCAAATTTCATAAAAAGCCCGAACTGCCACTTTACAGTTATACCACGGGGGCTTCAAATCACAAACAAAACTCCTGGATCATCTAACCTACATTACCCACACCCAAAAGGGTCTAAATATCTCTTTCCCAAAGGCCCTAAGCCTTATGATATCCATTCCTCGATCACGACACCGAATTAAGAAATGATTTAGAATAGGGTTACTACTTTAACGGTCAAACTAATACGTTACCACTTTAATTCCAAAGCCCCATAACTTCCCTGACCTCCACACTGGTAGAACCATTCTGAAACACAATCACAAGGGCCTCCTTCTACCATCAGAACTGAAAACATCCTTTTAACTCTGAACTCTCAAACCGATGCCCTTGGCATACGTATTCCTTAATCCATAAGTTGCTGAATTAAAGATTTTGCATAATACACTAACGACTCCTAATGATAGTCTCGACCAAAAGTTAACTCGATACATAACTCATAACCTGAGATTCTAGGATTTACACTTACATTTTACCTGAAATCCTCTGATTCATGGCGACCTTCCACTAAAATGGGATATAAAAATCCCCTAATCCACCGTTGAGACTGTCAGTCTCACACCTGATCCGGTCACCAGGTTCTTGAGAGTCTAACCGATAAGGTTACCCAATCCTATGCATCACTCTTATGTCACTCACTAATGAAACTCTGATTAAGAAATACAAAAAGATAACATACCCACGACAACATCTGATGAAACTATGGCCTACCTTGACTGACACTGCAATGCTCGACTCCTCGCGATTGGGGCTCCTCTACTACCCTCATGACCGTCAGTGATCCTCAAAGTAACTAGAGCAGGTTCACTCACTGCTCCACCCCTCAACATCGGTCAATTGGTTGTCTTATGGCCCACTTGGTTGCAGTGAAAACACATCGGAACCGACCCATAGTGGTAATGCCTACTAAAATGACCCATCTAACCACAACTGAAACATTCTCAGCATGTCTCCCGACATCTCCCTCATGGGTCCTCCCAAACTTACACAACGACCATGATCATGATGGCCTCCCAGACCTGAATCCTGAATCTGGGGCCTCTTTTCCTAGCCCACCACAATTTGGATATGCTCTAACTTTCTCTTCCCGACGTGTTCCAAATTGATGTCTCCCTCTCGGGCTCTAGCAATCATATCATTCAGGGTCTCTCACCCTAACATACTCATAAACTCCCATATGTCATCCCTCATCATGTCATGATACCTTACCATATTCATATCCTCATCTAGTATATACTGTGGATCCAACAAACCTCTCTCTCGAAAATTGGCAGTGATCCCTGCCATAGTCTCAGTCGTTTGGCGAAGGTCCTGAAACTCCCTCACAAACTGCTACACCTCAATAGCCGGTGTTAAATTGGCGAAGGCCAATTTAACACAAGTAGCAAATAATGATGAACCTGCTTTGTTGTTGTCTACATAAAACTCTGAAAAGGTGTTCCAGGAGGTGTTTCTTAATGAGAAAAGGGTCATGCCAAAGTTAAGATTAAAAGGCGATGAAACAAGCAAATCTAAGGTGTGGTACTTAGACAATGGAGCTAGCAATCATATGATAGGAAAATAAGAAAAGTTTCGTGAAATCGATAAGACCATAAAAAGATATGTCAGGTTTGGGGATGGCTCCAAACTCCGAATAGAGGGCAACACTACTAGAAAAACAGCCTTTTACGACGCTCATTGCATGTTGTAAAAGGCTCAGACGACGCGCATTTACGACGCTCATTTACGACGCGCAATTACGACACGCATTTATGACATGCAATGCGTATCAAGGAGGGCCCTGGCATAAAGGAAGACGACACGCATTTGCGTGTCGTAATCTTACGACGCGCGTGTTAATGACACACAATGTGTATCATTAAAACCCCTATCTAGAAAGGCCATGTTATAAATGAAGATGACACGCATTTCTGCGTATCGTAAAATTACATGTTTAAAAAAAATTATTTATATATTTTTTAAATTTTAAATTAAATTTGAATTTAATGTCTCATAATAGAAATAAAATACCATATACAAAAAATACAATCCATTGCATAAAATTTAATGTCATACAATTCTGTTTTTTACAATATACAAATTTGCATTCATCTAATCTATTCTGTTTCATACTAACAATTGAAATGAAGAATGCAACACTTGCATTTGCAGCATCTTATCTCTTTCAGCTTGAGCTTTCTTTTCCTCTTCTAACTCCAGAGCTATTCTCTTTCATCAACCCTGTAAACACAACACAAAATCACTTGTCATTTTCATTCTACTTTTAAAATTAATTCTTATTAGGACATTGTTCTTTTAAACCTACCAATCTAGCAAAATTTTCAAAGAATATAATTTATAATTTTTTTTATGGAAATTACATTACTATTTCTTGAATACAAGATGTTACAAACTGTGAAAGAGAAACCCTCTATCCACTTCCACCGTGAAAAGTGGAAAACCAATCATTATATAGCATAGACACCTGGTTTTACAAGAATGAAGTTAATAATGATTAGACTAATAAATTAAAGAGTTAAAAATGAAGAAATATGATGTAATAAGATGAGAAAAATTATTAGGTAACAGGTTAAGAAGATATAAATGCACCATCATCATCCTTGTTGTGTTGGACACATAACAGGATGCATACCAACCAGCTTGATGAACAACAAATCAAAATAAACAAATTAACTCATTTCTCATTTTCTAATATATCTTAATGTTAAATATAGTATTTACCTAGCACAGCTTGATGAAGATCATAAACATCCTTTCTGATAAAGTAATATATGAGTAACTATATATTTGTTCTAAGAAATGAACACAATACTTTCTAATTTCAATTTAACATTGATATGGCATAGAAACTTAGATTCTCTTGTACCAAATACTTTCTTATTTACTCATAGTAGTAGTAACTATATCTTTGTTCTGAGAAATGAACACAATACTTTCTAATTTCAGTTTAGCATTGATATGGCATAGAAACTTAGAGCTGATAAAAGATGAATACCTAATCCATATGTGAACAATCTAAACTAGCCAAGAGCTTGTCTAATGAACATCTCAACACCACTCACTACTGTAACTCCCATCTCTACATCCTCTTGCAATAGCCATGTGTTTCTAGGTGTATAAACCGCATCAAATACAAGATCATATGATCTCAAGTTCTCCTGATCATGTCAAAAACATTTTAATTCATAATCCCATTTTCATAAATGCTAATAAGAAAAGAGAAATTTGCCAATAGCAAAGCAATTTGCAAGAATCATTCCATTTTCAAGGCAATATGCATCCAACTGTTCGATAGGCAAAGCCTCCCCTGAAACTGCTCGTGCAAGAGACTCTGCTCTCTCTGTTTTAGGAATTTTATAAATTCAACAGAAGATATTCACAACATTAACATTAAAAAACACATCTTTAAAGATATAGTTAATTTTGCATTCAATGCAAAATATCTGAAAATAAAAATTCACGTGAGACATGATATTCTTTAAGAAAAAGTGTCAAAATTTGAATAAAAATATAAAACATGAATTTTTAGAAAGATTAAAAAGTACCTACAGAGCCATTTTTGAATGAATTGTGTGGACACTCGAATTGTAGTAGATTTCCAAAAAGAAAATAGAAAAAGAAGAACAGGATATACCCTTTTCTTACCTAGCCTGTGTCAATAAGTTGCACAATCCGGACAAAAACCTGTGTATCATGGTAAGGTAGAGCACATAAAATCAATTCATCAATGTTGTATACATGAATCTTGTTGAATAAAATGCAGAATAGCACAATAACTGATATGTTGACATACGAAAATGTGAAATGACATGAAAAAGTGAAGCTTGAATGGTAATACATACTTGTATCTATGGATTAGATATTTGAGTGTCCTTAGTGCTGAAGGTTGCTTAAAATGTCCGGACAACAGCCTCAAATAAGTTCTTGATCCAATTCTCTACTCTTATGAAATCTGACCACCTCAACTTAAAGTTACCTGTTGCAAGTGAAATTTGTGCCACCACAACACTCCCCTTTCCACATTTCAGGAATTGGTCTTAGGCCTTCATCATTGAAGCTCTCCAACTCTGGCCATATTCCACTGTCTATGACACCAATAATCATGTTGCTCTCACCAACGGGACTTCGTTTAATTGTTATGGGAAATCCAATGAAGTCCCACGACCTCGTTGTCTGGAGGTGCAACTTTTGACATGGGAATACGGAGACGCTCCCTTCATAACCTGCATTTAATTAGGGTTTTAGCCAATCTTAGCAAAGCATATACTATATATATATATATATATATATATATATATATATATACATGTGTGTGTGTGTGTATCTACATCCACAGTTAGTCAATTATATATAAAAGTTCATGTGGATTGTATCGAGTTCTTGTTTTCACAGTTTATGATGTCGTTTTTGATGTATCTCAAATTATGTGTGGTTAAGAAATTTTGATTGATGGAAAAAAGTAGTCGTACAAACGCACTCTCACTGAATTAATTAAGAGGTTGTGTACGATCAATACTAACATTGAACCATTGTAACTGTTTTGGAAAATGTTTCTCATTTGTTTTGTTGCTTTCTTGTTTCTTAATTTTGTATAATTATTTTGTCAATTTTATGTGATTATTTTGTCTGTTACTTGTATTTTTGTTTCATGATAAAATCTGAAAGCAAGAAGGAAATATAAATGAAGCAAAATCTAGTCATTGATACTTACCAGCCAACTTTCGTTTTTCTTCTTGGGAGAGATAGGGAGAAAATCTATTAAAGCTTCTTTGGTAACTCCTTATCAGGGCTTTACTAGCAAACCTGGTCCCATTTAAAGATATAAACAAATCATATTTGTGGTTTCAAAAATGAAAATGCAATTCAAAGAAATACCTAGGGCTGGTAATATTTTTCAAGATTTCAAAGTGATGCAAAGAAGGTGAATATTCTCCTTCTGGAAGAAATCATGTAGGCGATAAAAACCTGCAGAAAAGATTAATTTGCATTAGAATCTGGAGTTAAACCCAAGTTAAACTGTATATTCTGTTCTTATCATGTGGAAAACGATGTCTATATCATGTGATCAGTTGGAGTTTAGGTTCTAAGTTTTTTTTAGCTTTAAGTCAAAAAGAAATACCTACATTAAGTGTTGTCTATAAACAATATCTAAAAAAGGACGGTAAAATTGGGGAAAATTCAAGTAAAAAACAAACGAGGGAAATTTGTAAAATTTATACAACTTAATGGGAAAGACTTCTCTATTAAGTCATTGTATCTGCATTAAGTCAAAAGAAACACTCATATATAGCATTCATGTCCCTATTAAGTAAAAAAAAAAAAGACATAACCTTAGCTAGGCCAAAGGGGTCGAGTTTTACTTCAATAAACATATGATGAAAGGGGCAAAAGATGTGAGTCCTACACAAAAAAGTATATATCTATCAACAACCAACATGACAAAAACAAAAAATTAAACATGAGACACTACAATACCGATGTCTTTCCACCTAAGAGAGTTCCTATTTTTTTCGTCTGTTTAGTGTGATCATCACTTTTTTATGAAGACAACGGATACATACGTAAAGAAAAGTTAAATTCCAAGTCCAAGCAATAAACAATTCAAATTAGAGAACAGTAAATTTATGTTAGATCACCTCCACAAGCACTTTCTCCACATCATCATACTCAGAATTTCCAGGATCATCCTTCAAAAGCTTCCTAACTTGATTCTTAACAAGGAGTTCTTACAAGTTAGTACACAGTGTATGACCTTTATTCAGAGTGAAAATGAAATATGATCTTTGTTTTCTTGAGGAAGAAACTAAAAACAAAGAAAATACACATAGCTTCTGCTAGTATTGAGCTTGGAACAACAACCTATAGTTTCAGATAGTTAATAAGATACCAACTGGATATGACAGGACTGCAAACTAGACTACACAAGCTTTCTAGGACTACTGAGGGCATTCAATACAAAAAATTGTAACTTTTGTCCAGTTGACTTTGGTCTTTGACTTAGTCAATGCATGGTTGACTATTCTTGGTAGAAAAAAAATATATCCTTTATCATTCTCATCAACATATGTTTTCAATTTCAATATCATATAACTTATCAGTCATTAATCATCCTTAAACCAACCTGTATTGAACACATTATTACAATTTTTTTTGTTTGGAAGGATTCCACAAGCTCTAATGCAACTTAAAATTTATCATTTAGTTGTTTAAGAACTTGACCAAGTTCAATTTCTTCTGGTGTAGACTGTTTTTGAAGCTGCCAACAGCAACAAAAACATAAAAACTAAAAGGTGAGATGGGATTTGCAAATAAATAAATAAATAAATAAAAGAATTAGTATCTCACAGATTTCGGCCAATGAGAGCTATGAAGCAAGAAAGTAAATTTCTTCAATGTGTTCCCTGTTCTTCCACATGTTTTCATCTAGTTTGTTTGGTGGTTGGGACTCTGCTTCTTGAACCAATAATCTTTCCCCTGAAAACATATCAATTTATAAGTAATAAAAAGGAAAACTACAACATCATGGATACATAATCTAATAATAGAAATCAAGATCTAACAAAATTACAATATAACTAAGGGGGCAATTGGTTCATAGGATTTTATGGGATTTGGACTTCAACTCCATTCCAATCCCAATTCCCATGTTTGATTGCAAATAAAAAAGGAATTGACTGGACAAACATTTTAGGTTTACTCACAGTCCAAAAATCCTTACCCTCAAGTTCTTTCCCTGAACCATAGTCTTCTGAACTCCCCAGTCCATAACTCTGATGTTGGGGAGCAAACAAATGAGTTTAAGAGATTGGGGAACAAAAATGGAGTTAACTTTACCGAACATTAAATTGATTGCACATTTGAACTTAACTATTTTCATGAAATTGGAGAACAAAAAAATGAGTTTAAGAGATTAAATGGTAATATAAGATAGGGAAATCAAAGAAATGTGAAAGACCTGGGAAAACAATCGAGGGCTTCAGTATCAGTAGGAGGATCAATGTTGAGGTCAGCTAGCACTATTATTTTTGGGGGATGCGGTCTTGACGGCGCTTTAAAGCTCTCTTCCTGAGTCTGATAGGATCATGTAATATTTCTCCAAGATACTAAATGAAATCTCGAAAATGAAAGCACCTTTAAGAAAATGGCGGACACATATGATCTTGATAGCAAAGATGATTGAAGGGGATGGATTGGTCAACGTTATAAGATCTCTTGTGGTAGGGCGACAATGAACAGATGAAACGAGCCCTAAAAAATACACAACTGAGGGTGCGCAATATCCAGCAACATATATATATATATATGGTTCTCTATAAGTCAAAATTGATGTTGGGTTTGTGATTTGAGACTAACAAACTAGTCAATCGTGTTCTTGAATTCGTCATGTAGAAAGAGGAAGAGAATGATGAAAATGAAGGTAGATCAGAACAAGGCGGGTCTTTTGATTTTTTTTTAGTACAGTTAGCTAATAAAACCACCGAAGCCTTGTTATATGAAGAACTTGGAATGATTGAAACAGAAGAGGGTAGTGATGCATAAAAGAAAATCCCCAAATTTAATAGTAAATATGCATCCAATCGGACGAACTCATATATCATCAGAAGCGTTATCCAGAAACACATACTCATCATTTTAGTGAACTATCGATCTAAATCAAAATGGAAGAGAATGTTGCTTAATTTTTTATTGATAACTATAAAGAAGAAGAAGAAGACGACGAAGGCCCTAGGGCTTTTTCTTGCTAATTGGAAGAGGCAGGGGGTTAATTTTTGGGATTCAATAGGCAGGTGAAATCCCGCCTTAAAAACGCGTGTTTTATTAAAATGTTATAAAGCGACACATTTAGACGACTGTAACATCCCAAAATATCAAGAGTAGAGTTGAAGGGGCTAAGAGTAAGTTGTGAAAGAGTGACTCGGCGAGTCCATGGATGGACTCGGCGAGTAGAGTCGCGACTTGGTAGCGTGTTAAATAGACGACTCGGCGAGTTAGTGAGATGGACTCGGCGAGTAGGCACTGAGTGGAGAAAACCCTAATTCTCGGGGTTGAGCCTTATATAAAGATCATTATGTTTTCCTCCCAGCGTCTTTATCACCCCTTGAGCCCCAGAAAACCCTAAATCGCGAAGAAGCACCATTGTTGAGTGGATTGGAGCTTGGAGAAGTAATTGTTGAAGGAATTTTGGGAGATTGAAGGCTTGGAGCAAGGGCTTTGTTTGGACTCGAATTACATTGTAGTTGGGGCATCTCTTAGAGGTAATATCTCGTTATTGGGCTGTTGTTATGTTGTTTCTTCATTTTGGGGTTTGTGGGAATTTGTCTATGGATGTAATGGGAAGTCTAGAGGTTAGATCTGAGGTTGCTACCTCAAATCTGGAAGGGAGAAGAATCAGAGAGCATGAAATTCCCTGTGTTGGAGTGTTTAGTGAAGCTTACATGTCCCAAACCCTAGCCCAATGTGCAAACGGCCTAGATCTCTTTGGATTCACGTAAAGTTTGCCACTTTACGTGATGGATGAGTGGTAGGAGACTAGATCTATGTTTTGGAGCAGTTGCATGGCTTGGAATGCTTCTGAATGGATTCAGACCGGTGGTACTCGGCGAGTCACATGGGTGTACTCGACGAGTTGCTTGAAGATGAGCTGGGACTCGCGAGTTGGAAGAACAACTCGGCGAGTTGGATGAAGATGGCCTGGAACGCGGCGAGTTGTATGAATAACTCGGCGAGTAGGTTGATGATAGCCTTAGACTCGGCGAGTCTGTTCTTGGACTCGGCGAGTCTTGTCGAAGGGTCCCGATATTCTCTGGTTGAGTCGAGAATCAGTGAGTCGAGGGATGACTCGGTGAGTTGTGTGCGAGTGGACTCAGAGTTGTTGGACTCGGCGAGTCTCGGGGTGGCTCGGCGAGTTAGGTCGCGGATTGAGTGAAGTTCTGATTATGGGAACTCGACGAGTCACAGGGTTGACTCGGCGAGTAGGGTCAGTTAGGGGTTGACTTTGACTGAGGACTTTGATTTTGACCAAGGGTTGGCCGTTGACTTTTAGGGTTTGGTCAGCAATGTGGCCTTTGGGCCAAGAGAGGGGTAAAATAGTCTTTTACCCTTAAGAGGGTGCCATGAGAGGATTGATTCTAGCCTCGAGAGTTATATTCATGAGAGTATTTGCCTTACGTGTTAGGCGGTGGCGAGTTCGAGATTTAGGTGTGGGGATATCTGCTTTCTGCTTGCCAGGTGAGTCTTCTCACTATACTTTATCTTGAGTAGGTAACCAGAGTTATGTGATAGAGTATTTGTGCGCTATGTATGTCATGTGTTGTACTGCATTATTTCTACGTGATTTATGTTGTGCATGTTTACAGAGTTAGAACCTGAGGGTTCACAGAGTTTGGGTGCACGGACCCACAGAGTTATAGCCTCGAGTGGCTAATATGTGTTATATGTGGTATTTTGGGGAACTCACTAAGCTTCGTGCTTACAGTGTTTTGTGTGATGTTTTTTTTTCAGGTTTCTTTCAGTATCGTGGGACGGCACCAGCTTGATTGTACACACCAGAGAAAGAGTCATATTTTGGAGGATCCTGGTTTTCTATGCAAGTGAAAATGGAGTTAGGTTTTGTAAATTGACTATGAATTAGATTTTAAACAAGTGTTTCTAAGAATAAAATGATTATTTTAAATGAAAATTTTGCCTTGAAATTTACGGTGTTACAAGTTGGTATCAGAGCGTTGGTTTGAGGGATTCGGATGCGCCTTCGGGTAAATCTGGACTCAAACTGAGGAAGTAAGAAAAGATTTTAAAGAAATAATCTTCTAAAAT